GTATCATCTATTTTTTTATCATTTTGCTTTGTACAATATCCAATTCCAATCATTCTAAAAAATGGAATTAAAAGATTATAAAAAACCATAATAAAGGTAATGTCTATAAAATAATTATTATCGGTAATGATACTCATTTTTCCATTGCATATAATTTTAATTTTAAAGTAAAATATCCTACACACTGAAGGGACGGGATGATTTGCTCAAATGACAGCAGCTTTAAACTTATTAGGATCTTTAATTTAAAGGTTTTTTAATAAATTAAAAGGCTATAATGATATTCTTTAAATTATAGTATAAGTTTCTGTAAGGTTTTTCATTTTCATATTACCTGTATAATTCGCTTTAAATTCACTTGAATTTATGTCAATAAATGGCGATTTGTCCCATGCAGTCGTCAAAACAAAATTTCATTGTATAGAGTTATTAATCTAAATATCCAATTGCTGTAGGTAAAGCGTTGTATATATGTACATACGTATATACAGTACGTACGTAGTATAGTAATAAAATTCTTGGTCGTTACGTTTTGGGCTTGCAATTTTATTGGCTAGTCGCACAGAGCTGATGATCACATGTAGAATGATCTAGAATAGCCTGATCGATATTTCGTTACCGTAAAAGGAGCGATCTATGCTATCCTAATTCGGTATATTCCCTGACTGTACTATATTTGTAAATTGTCTATAGAGATATTTTTCAAATAACTTTTTTAAAAGATAGATATGTGTTATCAGTATGTTGTTGGTCTGGTAAGTTACAAAGGCAGCTATAAGTATTTGTTATTCTGTAGCAATTGTATATTTTATTGGTAGTGTTGGTGGTTTGTTAATTTTGATTTTATTCTTGATTAGGTTGAGTAGGAATATTGTTTTGCTGTTTCTATTCTAATAACTTTATACAGTAAGGTTTCCAAATTTGATTGTAAATATTTTGTGATAATTTAAGAAGAAGTTGAATAGTGATATTAATAGCCATATGAGTAGAATCTATATATTTTTTAATTATTTGTATTGGTGTTATAGGAATAAATCTTTGTATAATAAAATACAAATTTGTGTTATTGTTTTAGTTATTAAATGAAAAGCTCTGATGGTTAATGAGTTTAGTATATAATTTTTAAAGTTTAGTTCTAGATATATCGAGTTTATTTGGGTGAAAAAACTGTTGTATAGTATTGATAACTATTAAACTTGAAGTTGGATTGATTAGAACATATGAGCTAGTATAATTGGCTTTCTGATATATTGCATGTAATGCAATTAGTTACTAAGAGCAATGAAGAGTATAGTGTATGCTGATAAGACAGAGTTGGGACTATGTTAAGCATAAGTTTAATCTAAAAGTTTTTTCTTGATAAAGTTTAAAGTTGGTATAGTTGGATGATCTTTTGGAGTTATTATTAAGGTAAAGCCAGGTTGCATTCTAGTTAATTTGTGTGATATAGCTATAACATTATCTATTCGGTATTGTGATGACCACATAGCTATTATATAAGCATTATATATATTTTTAACAGAACTGCAAATTGGTTGTTTGAATGTATACTTTTCATACTGAATATAATATAATGGGTTGTAAATATTGTTGTATGAGAATTGAAGTATTGTGAAATAGTTTGCATTTCTTGCTAAATTATTAGCTGTATTATTAAAAATATTATTATTATATGCTGTAACTTTTTAAAATATAATTGTGAGTTTATATACTATAATAATATTTAGTAAGGTATGCCAGATTGGCCAGTAATTGTAGAAATATCATTTGTTAGATGTAGGTGGTGATTGTATTAATTTGTTAAACTTGGTTATTATAGATTATGAATCTGTGAAAATAATAATTTATTAATAATATAGGATATATATTTATTATAGAATATATTCTTGAAAACATATTTTATAAACTTTATTATAAAAATTTTTTAAAATTAGCAAATCTACTTGTATTACCATATATCTCTAATCATTATTATAATTAGTTAAAAAGTTCCAAATTTTTATTCTATTTTTTTAGAACTACTAATATAGTTAACTAATTTATCCTCAAGACATTGTTTGCTAGAGCTTTTCATACTTACAATTCAGTTAATCTAGATTTTGGTAACTTGTATTAAGTCTAAAAACAAGTACTTATATGCCAAAGTTGCTACTATTACCAATTTTTGCCCTTATAAAGTTCATCAAACCCCAGTATCTACTTTGCAAACTATCAACTGTACTATTAGTTATCTTAAACTCCCAATCTAAATAGCTTGAAAGGATAATTAATTTTTTTAGTTATTTATTAGTTTGATTAGTAAAGTGCTTGCTAAACACTTCAGTTTTGTTCAGTTTTCTAATTTCTTAGTTAATAATTCTTTATATAGTACTGCTAAAGATCTATGCTTCCTTTCTATTTAAGTCTTGCCAAGTAAACTTTTGTATTCTAATTCACTAGTTTTATTTAGCAGCTTTATTTAGATTTTATATAATTTATACATTACAATAATATTTCACTACTTTTCACAAGCTGATGTGATCCTATTACAGATGCTAATCCAATAGGATACAGTTTTCTAAATGCATCTTATAAATTTAAATTTTATTACTAGTTGAATTTGAACTTTTAATTTACTACTTGGAAGTATAACAACTTCTAACTTTATTAAGTTTCTATATCTTTATAGTATTATAATTAAGATAGATTAAAACTAAAGGCTATATATATAATTAGATGTTAAATATTTATATTGGCTGTTTAATAAAATTTTGTGATGTTTTATAGAATTGGTAAACAAACTTTACAAACTTATTAACTTTGCTAATGATTTCTTCATGCTAGTTATTTTCTGAAGCACTAACAAAGAGAAATCCTTTTTCAATTCTTATTTTGATTAAAATCTCCTCTGAACTAGTTGAGTTAAGATGATTATGTAGACTTGTAAATCAAAAAATTAATAATTACTAATTATTAGTGAAGCTTATTTCATAAGTCTGAAGTTAAACTCTTTTCAACAATCACTCGGTCAACAACAATCTACAAACTACAGTCAGCAATATAGAAAAGTAATATAGTGGACATAATAATATTCCTGGTTTTGCACTAAGCAAACTTGTTGTTAACGAAGCCTACAATATGTGAAATACCTAGAAGTGGGCATATAAGAATATTAGGCAGATTTGTGCCTTGGGTCAAGTTTTCCTTTCTTCGATGACTCCCTAGCATATTCGACATCCAAACTAGAAGGTTTATTCTAGAAACAAGTAGTGCAAGAGTCTCTAGGCAGGAATATTGAGTAAATACTAGGAAACTGAACTATATAACTGTAAAACTTACAAGAAAAACCTCACATATTATTATTGATCCTCCACTTTTTTTTGAGGAAAATTTTGTAAAAAAGTAAATGATTTAGCTTACCCCCTTTAAAAGATCAATATATCATTTACTTACCAAATCAGTTACATGGTTTATGTTTTACCTATCACAATAAATATGTAGATTCTATAGAACTAGACATGTAGATTATGTGCCTCAAATGTGACAACTCAAACAAACAATAACTTAAGACCTCTAGTATGAATTTCTGACCTTTCTGACCTCTCTATGGTGTTAATATCGAAGAAACTATTTTTTTACCTTGTCACCAGCTTTTTTTCTTATTTTAGATATACTATATATGTAGATTAGAGTAGAGACTAGTTTAGATAGTAGTATGTAATTTTTATAGAGCTGATACAGGCTTATAATTGTGACCATCCTGCTGGTGTGACAAATCACCTATAGGCACTTGAGAAAGTAGTAGCCATAGAATGTCAGGACTTAAGTTTTATTGTTTTATATCTTCTATAAGATAAAGACTTTAATAAACAATGTCAGTGACATGATTTTGCCTAAGTGAAAAAAAAAATTAGTGAAGTTTATTTCTTATATTGTCTACCTATTTTATGAAATATCCAAATTTTAAAATATTAATAGTATTTGATTTTTTTTAAAAACAAGACTAAACAGAGCACTATACACTTTGTGCCCCTTTAATTGATCAATAAAATTGCAAGATTAAATGTAATAGATTTATTTTATAATGTTATAGCACTATATTGCTAGAGTATTGTGACAAATTAAAATTTAAGATCAGGTGTAATATGCAGATCACCCCTTTGTGTAGCAAAAACAATTTTGTAAAAAACTATCATTTAAAAAAATTTCTTGCAAAATTTTAGTATAACCTATGCTTTACCTAACCTTAACTCCAGCTTTAATCTAAATCTAATTAAATGTTTTATTTTTGTAAAGATTAGATTGTTTTGATTTACATGTTACACCAACCTGTATTTACATATGGGTAGCACTACGACATTATAGCCCTATAATAATATTAATAATATTCCCTTTTTAAAAAACCAATCATCTCAAAATTTAATTATAAAACTAGTTTTGGGGCTTTAACAAAAAAATTCTCTTAATTAAAATATCTTTTTGTTGTAAATTTATATACATAATTCGAGTATGTCAATTAATTTAACTAATAAGTACGGCACGAGCTTCTGTAAGAGGTATGTTCTATAACATGTTTTGATCGTACGTTGCAAAATCGAATTTTGACATATCTAAATATAAACAAATCCGCTCATGTGGCATCCAAACTTCTGTCAAGTTCGTAAACATTGCTTATAGACTTCTAAACATCAATTGACACATGTCAATTGCAAACTAAGAGTATCAAATAATCAAATAAATCTATGCTTTTCGACAAAAGTATTTGAAATTATATTTCATTCTCTTTATTTAATGGTTTAGAAAAAAAAGTATAAATAATTACATCATAAAAATACAGTTTTTTTTTAAAAAAAATAAAGATTTAAATAAATCCTAATCTACATAAATCTTTGTAAATGCAATGAAAAAATTAAATGATTGAATGAAACAAATAATGTTGGATATTCTTAAAATGTATTAAAGAATGTTACATGGAAGGTGAAAAAACTGAAAAAGCTATGTAAAGATTTGTCAATAGAATCTTAAGTTTCTTGAACTTTACATTCTAAATTGAATGAGCTACTATTTCCATCAGACTGTACTGATTCATCGTCATCCGGTAAATTTATATCTTCTTCATCAGTTGATGATGCTGAATTTAGCACATCATCCTGTTCATCTTGTTCTTGCGGTGACATAGTATCAATATCGTCATTATTTATCATATACGTTTCAATATGTGACTCATCAGCCATTAAATCGTCAATATTCACTGATGATTTGCCATCATCAAATTCTTCAAAGTCATGTTCAGCATCACTAAGCGTTTTACTATGAAATGTTGTTGTTATGGTCATGGCTCTTCCATTCAAATTACCAGATATATTTCCATTATTACTAAGTACATCATCGCTCAAAATAAAATATTCGTTCAAATCTTGAAGTTTCGACACAATATCTTGAATTTTATGATCTGTTGATGTCTCATCGCTATATCCCCTATTCATGTCAATATTAATATCAGAAAATAGTAGATAGTCTGGATCATCTTGACAATTAGGATCCTGTTGAGGGGCTTTTTTACACGTATAGCATACTGCATGTACATTTAATCTCGTAGCCTCCATGGATGCTTGTCGATCAGGAATTGCCCAACCATGTTCATCGGGATCTCCAAATAGGCTGGCAGCACCATCTATCTCCTTTCCCCTTCTCGAGTTAAGACTCATACGCATTATTTGTTTGTCTTTCACAGGGGAAACTGAAATAGTTATGGATTCATCAAGTACTTCTAAAGCCTCTTGTGAATATGACGAATTTAAAAGACGGAGAAGTGGTAAAATTAATTCAGAGCCTATTTTAGTAAATTCATCTCTTTGTGTATCAATATGTGGTAATAACATCTTAAGAATTGTCATTGTTTTAAGTTTGTAATATGGAGTTTTGTTTGCAAGGAGACTCATGAGAAACAATAAGATTTGCACTTCATAATCTGGAAAATAATTGTCTCTGAGAACTAAAATGACCTGCTTTAAAAAATCGTCTTTAGTTCTGAATCTTCCTTTATTATAAGAGTTCAGTACATTAAGGAGGTTATGTCGACTTTGCTGTTCTGCTATTTCTGATAAATATTTTGCCCACTCTTTACATTCTTCTCGGATGCTCTCGTCTTCTAATGAATGAACAAGTCGCGGAAGATTAGCAAGAAGCAAATATAAATATCGTCCTGGTGTAGGATCTATTAGTCGAACATCATGTATAAATAGCAACTTTTTAAGCATATCAAACGTTTTTTTGGCACGCTGTAGATGAACCAATTCCTTTCATTAATAAAGGTTGAACTCCATTAAATGTTCCAAGCCATTTCTCTGGAAAGAAACTCCAAAATATTTCATGATTTTCTTCATCACAAACATTGTATTTATCTAAAATTTTATCCAGGATGGATAATGCTTCCAAATATTCTGGTTCATTCGTAGTTTGAAGACATGCAATAATCGCCCACAATAATTGTGGAAATATTTCTTTTGTATCAGGTTCAAGTCCATCAACGACATGACTAATTGTGATTAGAATTTCCAAAGCAAATCCTTGAATATCTTCCGAATTATCGGATATAGTGTTGGATAACCTCGCAAGTACAGCTGCGAGCATATTCAAGTTGAATCCAGGATTCAATGAACGAAATATTTGAAAAGATCGGCATGCAATGTGACGAACAGGACAAGATGTTGCCCATGTTAATGCTATTTCACCCCAGAATTGTTTGAGATCCTCACTATTGGTCTCCCCGTATAGAGAAACACCAAATATAGTTACTACATCTTTAGCTAATTTTTCTAAATCCGATAAACTTTTAATATTTCGATTAGAATATGTTATATCTTCGTATGCCCACAATTGTGACTCTTTAGCTTTTAACTCTGCAACCAAGGAATGACCAAGTTTAATAACTTCAGGATAAACCGACCTGCAAAGGATAATTGAATGAATTAAATTCACCAAAAGTGCTTTAGTCTCTTCGCTTATAAGCGGATTAGGTGAATCCAATTGCACAAACAAAACATGAAATAACTTGGGAAGATGAAACTCAAAAACAGGCCCAGCTTCTATTGCCATATCCACCATATATAACATCGCTAATTGACCAGATGAAAATACAGGCTTTTTATTATGTGGTGGCATTGCTTCCTCAATTTTAGCAAGAAACATTCCACTAAAATTATAATTCTCATGTTCTAGAGTTTCTTTTGGTTGAGGAGTCATTGATTTCGGTGTAATTTCTTTAATCAGTGCTTCGATAACTGCCGCACAAGTAGGTGTACGTCCAATGTAAACAAAAACTCGTTTTGCATGAAAAACAAATATTGGATTCCGTTTTTCTAAACCAACATCAATCAAGAATTTGACTATTGCGCGAATGTTACGAGCATGTTCTCCCATAACTAACTGCTGCCAAAGTTTCTCGATTTCTCTGACAAATATATCACCATACTTAACAGTTATGAAAAAAAGATTGGATATCATTATAAAAGTTGTCGGGTGCAATTCCCCTCTATCAGTAAAACGTAATTCGATGTTCCGAACCCATGGTGCTAAATAACGAAGCATTTCTTTCTTGCCCTTTTCTGGAATACTCTCAAATCTCATTGATGACTCTGATAACATATAATGTGTTTCTTCACGAATATCAGTATCATCGTTATTTATATTTGCAATACGTTTTTCTTCATCTCTTTTTCGAGCGTTTTGCGCAAGACGAGTTGATAACGCAAGTTGCGCTTGCTTATATATAGAAGATAGTTGACTGGTAATCCCGACTTTAAATTCATCAGTGCAACTCTCCTTATAAAATCTTGTTTCTATAATATTTAATAGTTTTAGAGCATTTTGACGGACTTCTAAATCAGCATCCCCAGTTTTAAACAATGCTAAAGCCAGCACATTAGAGGGCTGATTATCTTGAAAAGGGTAGTCTTTATTTTCAAAGAAAACTTCAGCTAATGCTAAAAAATACCCTTGGGTGCTCTTACTAGCTGGATTTCCCGAATAGCATAGTCGGATTGGAACTTCAAGAAAATTCGGAGTGTTTGAATTAGAAATTAACAAACCCTTAAGTGCTTTCCTATTATTTTATTTATTACGTTATTATTTTGATAAAAGATGAGATAAAATAAATTAAATGATCACTAGATTTTGAACTGACCGTGCAATTGGATGTAGCCTATCTTGCAGATCCTCAAACACCGACTGTATCCAAGGAAACACACAATCAGCATCCAACAACTGCTTCTTTGTTCCAGAATCTTGTTTAGCAAGATTTCCACGCTATTATTGATAATAAAGTTATTATATATGCCGTAATATTATCATAGTACATATATCCTAACAAGGTACCTACACATAATGATGCCATAGCGCTTAGCGCAGCAAACTCTAACGCTTTTCTGTCACTTTCTAATTGTGTGGTTAAAGGTCTCCTTTCTTCAGAATCTCTGTATTGATCCATTATTGATGTCAACATACTTGTTTCTTTCGCTCGGTATTGAACACCCTTCTTGCCATGACCACACCATTCTTCAATCATTTTAAAAATTAACGTTCGCATCTCTAGTGACATTTCATTGGACGTTTCATTGTTTTCGGATTTTAAAATGCAAAGCCCATCATAAAATTTTTCAACCACGCCACAAAAATACTGGCGGAGCTTCTGCCAATCCCAGTCATTGGTAACTTCAGGATCGCGAAGAAAAGTTATGGTTTCTTTAACAAACGTCATGATTAACGACGAAATATCAGGATCTTTTATTATTTCTATCTTAACAAGAAAGTGTGCTGTCAATTGAAAAACATGCGCAAGTTCTACCCGTAATCTTTCATACTTTCTC